ACACACACACACAAACACTCACGCCTGTCACCCAGAGGGGTAGGCAGAGACTACGGACTTCCATTTGGCGCGATCCTGACACACCTCTCTTGCCTCCTTTACATCCATATATCTACGCATACACGCTCGTCGGTTAAGGGTACTCCTAATCTGGCCCATTTTTAATATATCGTCGATTTGGTCGATAAACCTTTGTCTAGGGCGGCCCTTCCCGACCCTACCGTTCACTTCTGCAACATAAATTTGCTTGGGCACTCTTTCCTCGTTCATTATTCCTACATGACGAAACCCTCGAAGCATTCCTTTCTTAACCCTGGTCACAACATCCTCTTGCAAACCACACTTTTCTCTGATCATACTATTTCTAACCCTGTCATTCAGATTCAGCCCTAGCATACTCCCTAATGACCGCATTTCTACAGTATTTATTCTACTCCCATGCTTCTTTTGCCAGACCCAACTTTCACTACCATACATTAAAGTAGGGACTAACACAGCATTATGAATTGCCATACGTGCCTCATTTGACAAATTCTGACTCCTCATAATAGCGTGTAGAGCCCCATTCACTCTATTTCCTGCGTTCACTCGTCGTTCTATATCCTTATCATATCTACCATCCCTGCTTAATAAACATCCCAAATATACAAACTCATCAACTTACTCAATCATCATTATCATTACAGCCTTTCATAAGTCCACTGCTGAACATAGGCCTCCCCCAAGGAATGCCACAAAGCACGGTCCTGAGCCACCTGCATCCATCGACTCAATCAACTCCCTTTATATTCTTATTTCACAGAACGTTTTACTTTCTTCTCTTTCAAAAACCATCACTTTCGTCTTACTTGCGTTCACTTTCATACCCCTTTCTTTTATTGACCAGTTCATTAAAGTAACCATCATTTGCAACTCGGCCGCCGACGATGCTAATATGACTTGATCATCGGCGTACAAAAGGCATTTGAAGGCTAACTCACCCATTCTCAACCCACATTCTTCAACTTTCAAAGTTTGCAAACATCTGTACATAAATAGGTAAAACAGCCACGGGGAAGCTACACAGCCCTGTCTGACACCTTCTTGAATGCCAAACCAGTCGGAGTAGACCCCGTTGATCCTGACACAAGCACTAGAGTCCCTATAAAGAGACCTTAATGCCTGTATCAAGCCAGCGCTCAACCCAAATGAGTTCAGTGTTTGCCATAACACATTCCTGTCCACTCTGTCATAAGCCTTTTCTAAGTCCATGAACGCACAAAAAACTTTCTGGTTTTTGGCCAAAAACTTCTCCGCATGCATGCGCATGGAAAAGACTTGATCCGTACACCCCATCCCCATTCTAAATCCAGCTTGCATATCCCAAAAATTTCTATTAGTTTCTTCCATAATCTTTCAATGAACACCTTAGCATACAGTTTACCCACAATGCTAAGCAAGTTGATACCACGGTAGTTTTTTCAGTCCTGCTGCGAGCCCTTTCCCTTATATATTGGGACTATAACGGCTTTGCAGCAGTCTTCCGGTATCCGCTTCAGTTGCCAACATTGGTGGGTACCTGTGTATGACTACGTATAAGTATACTTGTCATAGTTAAGAAATAAATCAGTGTGTTACTTGCTAGCAGTAGTTTCACTCGTGCCCCCTATAACGCATACTTACCAAACATAAATTAAACAAGGTTCACAGCAGGCCTGCAACCACACCCTCCCAGTCCTTAGCATTTCGAGTGATATTCTATCAAATCCGGCTGCCATACTTCGGTGACTGCATCTACCAAAACTTTCTTAATATTATTCCATACATTCTTCAAGTCTAAATCATTCATACATAATTCATTCAACCCACTTATTTTTTCCCTCAGTCTGCATTTATACTTCTCTTTCATACCTTCATCTTGTAACCTCTCTATTCTTATACGCTGTAACGCAGTGGTAGACACAGTTGTCCGATGCCGCCAACGCCTGAATAGACCATTAATTCGGCATAAGACCAAGTAATGATCCGTCCCTACATTGGACCCCCGGTAAACTCTTGTATATAACACAGCGCTCCTCATTCTTTCATCCACAATTATGAAATCTATCATGCTTCTATCATCCCCTCTTTCCCATGTATACATGTGAATCCTCTTATGGCGAATGAAAGTGTTCGCCACAAAAAGATTCTTTTCCACACATACGGTGAGGAGATCTTCACTCTTCTCGTTTATTCTTTCATCGCCAAACGTTCCTAATATCCTTTCATAACCAGACCTCTTCACCCCAACCCTTCCATTAAAATCTCCTAACAATAATATTTTCATTTTCCTTACATTTCATCAACACCAGCCTTACCATGTCCCAAAACTGCTCTCGGATATAAGTGGGCTTAGACATATCTGGGGCGTACACACCTAGCACAAACAACTTCTTTAAGCCCACTTTCATTCGTATCCACAGCAGCCTTGGGCTTACATATTCATACTCTTTCACACATTGACCCATTCTTTCTGAAAGGATGACACCGACTCCCTGGCATGCTCGCTCGTTCTCATCTACACCAGACCAGTAAGCGGTATACATGCCATGTGCAGTGACATCTCTTCCCTTTCGTTTCGTCTCGTTTACACATAACACATCTATTTCTCTATCATTCATCATTTCGCATACTTCATCCATCTTATCATTCATTGTTCCACATACATTCAGCGTAGCCAGACGGGCCTCCGCAATCCACTTTTCGCCCCTCCGGGAGACAGGACGTGACGGGTGGCGAAGCTTGTCGCCGGTTTTTCTCCCGGAGATTCTTGGCACCCCTGCCCCATTAGAGAGGCGCCGGAAACTCGGGGCCATTTTTTTACTTCTTGGCTCATGATGCGAGCTAAGGGGTGGTACATTTTACGCCGCTACCATATGGCGAGGAGCCGAGTCTATCCTTTCGGCTTTGTCGCTCGTTTAGCACCACTCGTGGGACACGTGTAGGGTGGGACTAGGGTTAAGTGGTCGAAGCCTACGGACGCGGTCGACTCATCCCCCAGACAGTAAATATATTTAAATAAAAATATAATAAAGTTAATATTAGTATAAGAGTTATTGCACCTATGAGTAATAAAAAGATCAGAAGCAATTTCGAAGACACATCTACCGAAAAGAAAAACACAACATTTTTTACGTGGTAGAGCCATGCTACAGCTATATTAGTAGTATAGTTGTAGCACTAATGGGTCGGTTCGACCGGGGAAGGACCATGCTCTCACAGAAAACCAGCGTAAAATAGTAGCTTAACGCTGCTGTGTTTCGTATAGTAAGTGTAGATAAGCGGAGACCATTTTTACTGGCAAAGAGGGATTCCATCTTAGTCTTCACGGGTGACAACGCATCTGCATCTTGAGTCTTTATTGAGGATACACAGTAACCACTTACCATCAGGTGGACTGTGTGCTCATTTGTCACCCTATCCTATAAAAGAAAATAACATGACTTATATGCATTACATTTGTACGACACCACCAACGATTATACTGGTTAAATATTGTACTTTTTTTAACTAAATTGGTATTAGGTTAATAATCATATAAGGATAGTAGCCGTTGTGAAAAAAAAAACATATTTTTTTATTTACTTTATTTTAGGTTAGGTTTAGGTTTAAGAATGTCATTATAAAACATTATTTTATATCATTTAATTTCTTTTCTGAAATTAGACGGACAATATTTATATGCTCATAATGATGCAATGCCACCATTGAACAAATTCTTTGCTACAATTCAAAATAATAATTATATTTTTTGATACAATTAACCTTTTTAATAAAACAAGTGCTTAGTTCTACTTTAAGATAAGATTTATGATTTTCTTACCGATTATTTTGTAAAATATTAACAATTTAGGCGTGATATATGTTCATAAACAAACAGACAAATGACGGTCAGACAATTTAAAAAATATTATTCGTGCCTCTCAATCATTTTTGTCATAAAAATACACAGATTTTTAGATACCTGCAATTTACGTTTTTATTTTCATGGAATAAGCGCGCGCATTATATTTTATTATAGACTAGCAACTCTTGTTTGATATGCATCAAAATAAATAAAATATTTCAGTGACCATGCCAAACATTGATTTACCCATTAATTTGAGGTAAAGTAAAACATCGTTAGGAAACCAGATTGTTATAAAATAACCTAGAAATGTGAATTTCGTAAATAAGCATAAAAGCGGAAATTTGAATTGTCTAAAACATATTTCAGCAATGGTAGGAGGAATGTAGCAAGTAATTTGACATATACGTCATATATATTTAGATGTTTAACTTTTTGCATTTTCATGTTATTTAAGTTTAATAACAAAATAATAAATAAGAACTGTGGTTGCTTAAAGGCTAAGCATTCGTTGTAAGTTTGTGTTTAATCGCCGATAGCACCAAAAAAATTGTTAATTGCCCTCACAATACACTGCAAAATAGTCCTGATTTGCTATGAGCTCAATGGTGTAAGGCAGTTGCCATTATCTGAGAAATAAAATATTTTAAGGATAATATGTGAAGTCCGACAACACGGACTTAAGTGACACGGCGGAGTAATAGCTCAGATATATCAGGTACACAATAATCCACTCTGAGATGAGAGGAGGCTAGTATTTTACCTAAATTATACAATTTTATTATAAACATTAAAAATTAAATAAAAATTGTTTCATTTAATGTTTTTATTTATTTGCTACCTTTCATAACTTTAAATAAAACTAATTGTTAAGAAAAATAGAATTAAAATAGATTGTTACCTTAAAGATAGAACATATTATATAATGTAGATAAAAATACATAATAATGTTTGAGCAAATTAAATTTTACAATTCAATAAAAAATGTTTGTTTATCATTTTCCAAAACAATATGCTTTTTATTTAAAAAATAAAAAACATTACATAAAATACATTTTCACAAAAAAAGAAAACTTTAAAAGAAATATGATATTTTAAATTCATTCCCCAAAATGATTTAACAATCATTATGCACCTATACAGTCCGTCCTATATTTCTAGGAATTAATTTAACATTTATATTGGATGGAACCACATTTGTATGGTGCTTACTATACTTAATTTCATCTCCGTCCATGTATGTCTTTACCGAGAAGTTACGTAGTAAGTGAACTAGTCCTGATTTCACTTGCAAAGTGGCATATCTATTACCAATACAAGTTCTGTTACCTTTACCAAATGGCATAAAAACATTGTCTGGTAATGTACTCCGATTTTCGCGGGAAAACCTCTCCGGCTTAAAAACTTTGGGATCTGGAAATATGTTTGGATCGTGATGATATTCAAAAATAGGTGTAAATATTTTGGTACCTTTACTAACTTTGATATTTCCAACTGGTAATACGGTATCACGAACACATTCTCTAGTTAAGTATCCAACCGCTGGATGAATTCTCATCGCTTCATTTAATGACATATCCAGATATTCCATTTCTTGAATGGCGTCAACGGTTATAGTGTTGTGTTTCTCAAAAGCTTTATCGATTTCGTCATGGACACGTTTTAGATCGTTAGGATTACGCCCTAATTCCACCAACGTTGAAAATATAGCGGACGCACTGGGTTGAACACCAGCGACGAAGAAAAAGAACGCTTGCGCTGCCAATACTTCATCAGTTGGATATATTTCCAAACCACTGTCAGGGTCTTTCAAGACACCATTATTTTGTATATTCACGCATAAGTCTGCGAAATCATGCCTCCTTGTTTTTTCTTGTTCTCTTTGGCGAATAACTTGCTTTACAGCACCAATAAAAAAATTCTCATGTTCTTTAAATAAATTAATACCCATAACTTTGTACAAAGTTCTACTTAAGGTAGCTATCACAAATTTAATATTTTGTAATGTCGATGAACTCATAGCATTTCGAGTCATTGCAAGGAAGGGTGAATCAAAAATTGACTCATTTCCAATTCCAAACACAGCAGCTCCGATGGCAGCACTAGAAAATGTACATAGTGTTGTAAACGTGTCACCGTTTAATTTTTCTGGATTACTCTTTAAATATTTAACGAAATCTTGAGCACTTCGATCTATTATGTAGTACATACTTTTTAATTTCGATGATGTAAAAAGGGGTGTCATACTTTGACGCAACAATTTCCACTTATTACCATTTAAGAACAGTATGTTATTTGCAAGTATATCACTTTCATTCACGTCAAAACCTCTGTGATTAAACGAGTTAAAATCTGTCTGCAAGACATGTTGCACATTTGTTTGATCCTTCACATACAGAGCTGGAGTAAACATTGAACCTATTCCAATTGCTGGTTCATCTGGATACATTTTGTAAATGTCTTCAAATATTTCAAATGCCGCCTGTTTTGAAGTTAAAAATATTCCAATAGGACCGAAAGCTTTACTTTTTGTATGAAACTTCACACCACGTTTTCTCCAGTAATTTTCATTATATAATCCTAGTAACAAATATATTGCACAAAGAGCCCCGAAAAAGATTAACAGTGTCAAAATCATTTTATATTAACAAACGAACAGTGACGGGTTACACGTCAGTGCGCAAAAAGACTAATGCGTCTGTTAAGCGTCTCAACAAATATATACATTGTCGGACCGTCCTTGAATTATTCTTAATAGTTATCGTATAGCGAATGTAATTTTAAGATCATAATTATTAGTGAAACCATTGTATTGTATAGACGTTTTTTTTAAATCTGCTATATGATAATTTACGAGTAGCCTAAAAAATTAAGTGTAAGGGAAAATATGTTATGCTTAGTACAAGACTAAGGATGGAATGCAAGGTACATATTGAAACATATTAAGCACTCTGCATATAGAAAATGAGGTTTTGTAAAGACCGCTCTATAATGCATTCTAGGTATCTATTTATAACTCGTAATCATAGCCTCGTGAGAGGCAGAATTATAAGTGTGGCACAATTATGTATAGGCTAGAAGATTAAACAAATGTTATAAAGCATTCTTAATATAAAATACTTTAATAATATTCCACAACTATCAAACAACGCCATCTAGTCCCAAGCTAAGCAGAGCTTGTGTTATGGGTACTAGACAACTGATAAACATACTTATATATTTCTAAATACATAAATATTATAGATAAATTACACCCAGACACAGAACAAATGATCGTGCTCATCACACAAACATTTGTCCTGGGTGGGAATCGAACCCACGACCTCCGGCGTAGCAGTCAGGATCACTAACCACTAGACCAACAGGCCATGTTATGCCAGGCTTATGTTTTATGTTATGTTTATTATATATAATGTATAGTATATAAGATGTCAAACGAGCACACAGTCCACCTTATGGTAAGTGGTTGTTGTGACCTATTGGCACCTATGTCTATGGAGTGTGGTCCATATATATTTACATTTATCCTCGATTAATAATCTAGATTAATGCAGATGTGTTGTCACCCGTGAGGACTAAGATGGAATGCCTCTTTTCCAGTAAAAAGGGTCTCCGGTTCTCTACACTCACCAGACGAAACATAGCTGTGTTTTATATAGGATAGGGTGACAAGCGAGCAAACAGTCCACCTGATGGTAAGTGGTTGCTGTTACCCATAGACATCTACATCTATCCTCTATAAAGAATCAAAATGCAGATGTGTTGTCACCCGTGAGGGCTAATATGGAATGCCTCTTGTCCAGTAAAAAGGGTCTCCGGTTTTCTAAATTCACCATACGAAATACAGCAGCAATTAAGCTGCTATTTTACGCTGGTATTCTGTGAGAGCGTGGTCCTTCCCCGGTCGAGCCGACCCATTCGTGCTACAACTATACTATTAATGTAGCTGTAGCATGGCTCTACCACGTACAAAAATTTTAATTTAAAATTAAACTATCCTTAACTAGGTTGTAGGAGGCCTATTGTGCCTAGGAGTTGGTCTGGGTAGATACCACCTTAATAAATATTTTTGGTGCCAATTAAGAGTGTGTGCATTGCTGTATTCTAATGTGAAAGGCATAGAGAGCCAACCTGTATAATAACAGGTGAATAAATAAAAATCGAGTTTAAATTTAACGTTGAAACTTTCTTTATTTGTTATTTGATGTAGAGCCGTCTACTCACTTTGAATACTAAAGATCGGAAGGTTAGTTGTCAATACAAAATATGGTAAACTTAAATTAAATTGTTTCAAGTAAAATATACGGGTAATAAATAATAAATACAGATAAATATTAATGTTTGATAATTAATTAAACATTCCATCTATGTCCTAGGTGGTAATAACGAATCTGGAGCCATTTTTGTATTAAGTTGGCTACAGTTGTCAATGGGCTGCAGTAGTCACTTACCATCTGTTACTTAGTCACATTAGGAAAAGAAACATATTTGTACTCGTACTTGTTACATACGAATTATTACGCATAGAAACGCAGTCTAGTACAAAACATGAGCGTTAAAATGATGCAAGGTCATTATGTTAGTGGGCGCGAGTCGAATGTGCCTACGCTCATCACACGCACACATATACGCCATTCAGTGATACCAGTTTCTGGCGTTTGCAATCAAATTGTGCAAATTACTATTTTTTTGATTAATTTTAAAAATCCATATAATAAAGATTACGTATTACGTACAAAGATGTATTTTATGAGAATATAAAATGAAATTAATTAAACACGATAATGATGGTACTAATATAACTTTATTATACATATATTAATGGTACAAAAATGCAGACGTAATGAAATTTAAGAATATTATTAAACACAATTAATTTGCTCGAATACAATAAGCACATCGTTTAATGTTTAATTTTAACCGCCTTCAAAAAATGAGGAAGTTATCAATTCGGTGTATTTTTTAATGTTTTTACCTCAGAATTCTACAATTTCTAAAGCGATTTAGATTTTATTTGAAAGGATATACGCAAAGATTGATCTAATATACACGCTGAAATTTTAATGATTGTTTTCTTGAAGTAAAATGATTTTGCCTTAGTAGGAAAAAAAGACTTAGTAGGAAAAAAAAGATTTATTAAAATAAAAATTATTAGGATGTACAAATGGCAGATTTGTAATCGAGAAAAACAAATCTCGAATGCGATCTCAAACCAATAGCAATATCGCGCAAGTAGGTCGGGAGTGCAGGCTAGCTTATACCAAATTACTATAATAAAGTCTGCAAAAAAAAATTGGCTGGACGTAATATAGTGTTACGTCTATCGCACGCGCTACTGCGCGCTTCCTACACAGTGAAAGGCCACTAATAAATGTTCATAACATGAACTCTCAAGCGTAGTGATACGACATAAACTAGTCTAGACGCCCGAATAGCTTGTGAGGTATTACTATTGTAAATCTGCCCTTTTTTAATTGTGATATTTTTTAATTTAATAAATTGACTCTACTATTGAGACAGTATAATTTGGCTGCGGGACAACAACCACTAAAATTTCAGCATGTATATACGAAAGCTTAAGCTTAGAAATCAGTGCACATACATATTGATAACCTTTCTTTATGGGAGTCTTTTTTAAAAAAAAAGTGTAAATACATATTGATAACCATTCTTTTTGGGAGTCGGTTAAATAGGCTACGTTTGGGTCTAACGTAACATCTGGTTAATGTTTGGGTGTAAAGTGACATCTGGTTAGTAAAGGCGTTCTTATTAATAATCTCTTGATGTTGTAAATAAAACAGTTTTTATTCTATACTCTAAAACGTAGCCTAAGTTAATAAACAAACCAAATAAAATAAAATAAATGCGTTAAAATGGCGTCGATGAATTGCGATTAGCTGATCACTCCGTATTAGTTTTAAATAGGCACCCATTGTTAATATTATATTTACATTTAGAGAAGTTGGTATCTATATATACACATTTGAGTTTTACACAGAGCGTTGCGATTAAGCGTTTTAAACACAAATAGAAAAAAAATATTATTATAATAAAATTGTGATTTTTTCCCCACAACTAGCAACATTTGTATTATGAGGGCTTAGGAAAGTATTTTATTAGTTTTACGTACTTATAATGCATTAAATGTATAAACTTATATGTGAAATGTAATACCATCACTTCTTTTATGTTTGTCATCACCGTTGTGACAATATTTTACAACACAAACGGTAATTTTTACAATTTTTCGCGAGCTCTTCTCCGTAACACGTGACGTTGCGCGCTGACGCGTCGCTGAGTCAACTTACGCGGTTTCGCGTTAGTTTTACTTGCTTCACTTTCGTGCTTTCGGTGCGCGTACTAGTATTCTATTCGTAATAACTCTATGATTTGAACTGTCAAAGGTTACGTATATTTAACTTCTTCTTCTTCTTTTAAATTATGGCTTTATATTTAACTTATTTTATTTTGTTATTTAGAGGCCAATTTTGCTTTACATATTTCAACAAAAAGATCAGTAAATATAAAAGAAAGTTATTATAACAATTAGTTTTTTTTATTTCAGATATAACACTCTAAGGAAAATATTTCTGCTGCGTCGTTGTCAGCTGTCAAAGCATAAAGACCACGTGCAATTTTTATTAAAATGGAATAAATCCAGGGATGTAATGTGATAATATTTCATTTAAAAGGCAAACTACAATAAAAAGAGCCATGCTGCAGCTATATTAGTAGTATAGTTGTAGCACAAATGGGTCGGCTTGACCGGGGAAGGACCACGCTCTCACAGAAAACCAGCGTAAAATAGCAGCTTAACGCTGCTATGTTTCTTATGGCGAGTGTAGAGAACCGGAGACCCTTTTTACTGGAAATGAGGCATTCCATCTTAGTCCTCACGGGTGACAACGCATCTGCATTTTGATTTGGTGATATTTTTAATATATGTATTCTTGTTTATCTACTATTTATGCACAATACTATATATTATGTGTAAATGAAAATGTACACCTTCAGCAAAGTTTACCTAGAAGAGATCGCTGTTTAGCGATAAGGCCACCTTCTTGTACAGATGAAACATATACATTCAAGTTTGTGTAATTGTAATATATATGCAGTAAAGTATATAAATAAAATATATAATCTATTAGCCCCAAAGTAATAAAACTTCCAAAAAAATTATCTTCTAACAAAGATTCTATGCGAATGAAGTCGCAGGCACAGCCAGTTTTAATAATAAATCTAGTGGGATGCGGGAAGTAAAGACTGTGTAAGAACCTCCGAAGGAGGCGGAGTTATAGCCGAAATAAGAATTTTTAATTTTTTGGTTTTTGGCCATTTTGACCGCCTAGGAGTGTAATGAGAACTTTTTTCCCCTATAAAACCATGGCACCTCCATGACATCCTCTATATGATAGGCTATTCAAACTGACTAAGCCTTAAGTTCAAGTCACCCCCCAACTCATTTCTGAAGTCTTTACTTCCAATTATAAATAATCTTGCAATAATAAATCTGTAGAGGTTAAGAGACTAAGTATTTGTCGTAAGTTTCACAGTTGTCGAGAAATCTGAGTTCAATGCTCGCAGAAAAGGAGACTGGGGACGGCCCCAGTTATAATTAATGTACTATGATAATTTAAG